GGGACCAGCGAGAGGGAACAGCGAGAGCGAGGGAACAGCGAGAGCGAGGGAACAGCGAGAGCTCCAAACTGCTCTCCCTCCCTATGAAGCTCCCTGCTCCTGGGGGGGGGGGCATCACACTTAAACGCAGGCCTTAAATGCACAGGGTACCCATCAGCATTTCCTCCGTGTCATGGAGAGTAACCAGCCAGCCTCCTGCCCGGCCCTAACGGCCTCTTCCCAACTCCATTACCTCTCATTTTGTAGACCAGGTGCACGGGGACACACCGGCGCAGAAGCACAGAAACCGGCCCGGATAGAAAGCTGGAGCATAACTGGACGGCACCTGACCACATAAATAATGCAGGAACCAATTAAAGGCTAAAAAGGGAGGAATCGGCAGAGGGCCCTCAGTGACGCCGGTAATGGGTGGATCGCTCCCACGTCTCCCCATAAGACGTCCATCATCAGACTGGAGGCGACGAGTTGCACTGGGACGCCACAGTACATGGAAACGCCGTCTCAGAGCTTCAGCTCTGAACCCCCAGTGCTGCAGGGGAATGAAGGCAGCCGTGCAGAAAGAGAGAAAGAGAGAAACACACCCGACTCCCAAAGGCCTCTCCACACTGTCTCAGTGCTAAAAGGCCCTATATGCCAATTCGGGTCCAGAGCTGAGCAAGCAGTTTTGGGATAGATGGGATTGCAGGGCAGCTCTCGCCACGGGGCCTCCCTGTGAACAACACCCCTAACCCCCCCCCCCCAAAAAAGCAAAGGATTAGAGGTACCTTCCACCTCCAACCCTCCAACATAAAGACATGACGCTGCTTCCTTTTTCCATTTGCAGAAGTACATAGGAATCCTTTTGTTTTCACACATCTTGCTCTGCTACGAGAGAGATGGGCGAGAGTGAATCTCGGGGTCAGAGTTCAGCGTCAGCCATTTCCCCAGCGCTACATCCTCGGGGTTACGGGCCTTGCGAGATGAGATTTGAGTCCTTCCTTGCAGAAGCCACCATGTTCATAACGCTGCTTCCGGCGCACACTAACACGACCAGCAATAACAGCTCCCCCTCCCCAGACTCAGACCAGCACAGGGTGCTGCCATTTTGCCCCAGGGCTGCCGGGGGAGGGGGGGTGGGGGTGAGATCTGCAGGAATGAGGAATGGCCCCCCTCCGCATTCCTTTTGTTGCGCCGGCTAAAGCAGATCAACAGATTCTCGCCAGGAACCAAACGGTCACGCATTCGCACATTACAGGAAGGACAAAGAGCAGGCGGGCGGCCCATTATCAACACGACTGGGCTTAATTGCTCTGAACATAAAGAGCAGCTAAACGACCTGTGCCATCGTTAGGCCGCGCTAAACGAAGCACCGCGGGGACAGAGACCAGCGTGCCTTTGTTTACAGATCCAGTAACTGTCAAAACTCCCGACATAAAAGCAAATTGCACAAGGGGCACGCCCATAAACATGCACGCCTGATTACATGTCAGCCCTTTCACCCTGCAGGTACTCAGCAGCTGAAGCTCATATATCATTTATGGCCAGCTGTGACAAATCAGAGGATATGCGATGGTGAGACCAGCTGTCAATCATAAGGCGGGCCATAATAAAAGCCCTTCTCATTGGTCCGTCCTTTCGGCAGAGGTCACAGACCCTTTCCGCTGCCTAGATATAGTAAAATAAAATCATCTCCAGCTTCTTTGACAGGGAAAAAGATGGATAGATCTGCCTGCTGATTAAACTTCAATGGCAGTGTGAAATTGAAAGAAGCATCGCTCCCCCCGATTAAGACGGGCCCCAAGGGGGCCGGGGGCCCCTGTGCTGGCAATGGGGTGTCTCGGGCAGAACAAAGACAGGACTGGAGGGGGTCAGTTGGTCCTGGAAGGGTGGGGTGGGGTAGAGGTTTGTTATAACAAGGACACATCGAAAGAGGCACTTCTGCTGTGACACAAACTAATATTTCCAGATCTTTTTCCACAAGCACACAATGATATTTCACAGCGGGAAAAGCAGCGACGAGGGCTGGACAGAGAAGAAACACAGAGAGCTAAAGTGCACCATCCTTACAACAATCATGCCTGGATCAGCTGTGAATCAAACATACTGCGATTGAATATTCAGTCTCTCTCTCTCTGACAGGGATTTAAGAGCAGGCAGGCAAGCCCGGTGCACATCTCCACTTCAAAGACCTGCAGTACGAATCATCCTCACACGGGTTAATCTGCTATGCAAATACCTGCCAACAGCACTGATTTCATCATTGATGTGGGATGTTTCAGGTCATGCTGGCTTCACCGAGGCAGCGCATGGTAACTGTGAGGATGACAGCTATCTAATGCACGCAGGTGTAGGTTTCTGCAAAGCAGGCGACTGGCCAGAGCTGGATTGCAGATACAGCAGCACACCAGTCACTGGTGACAGGAGAACGGAGGAAGACGACCAGTCAAATACTTACTAGTAGAGGAGCTCGTTGGCTTCGTGTCTTTCGTAGCGCACCGTCTGACACATAAGCCTATGGAGGAACAACAGGCTGCGTTAGTGAAGATCCAGCACGTGACGCAGGCAGCAAACGAGAACAGCTTAGATCATTTAAACGGATACAGGAGCTACAGGGGATAAGGAGGAGGTCACTGCTCCAAGACACACAGCTTTATCCTTCTGTCATTTTCTTATGAAATCCACCAAAATCTATTAACTGGAAATCAGTTTCAATTGTCGTTGCGCATGTTCCTGCTGTACAGAGATCACTGAAATGGTAAACAGAGGGAAAAATGCATACCATGCACGCAGAGAGCAAGCATCAGAGCAGACGGACAGCTGTGGCTTACAGACTGAGCGTGTCTGAAGCTGCCACTGTCCCCCAGACGAGATTCTTACATAATCGAGTGGAAAGTAAAGCCTCCGAAAGGTCAAGCGTGGGAATGTTCCGGACCCGCAGGTCATGTGATCCCATGCCTTCCTAGACTGAGATCCATATGCATCCGCGTGCAGCGCACTGGGAACGACTACAGAACAAACAGCAGAGCCCGGCCAGCTGTGCAACTACCTCAGGGACGCAGCAGTGACACTGTGGGGCGTTCCCACATATAATTACAGTAACTTTCTCAACGTTATCCCAACTGATCTCAGTTCAGCTCCGCCTCCTTCAAGGGGAACCGCTCCCTCCATAGCCCCACGCATGCCATCGCTAGCTCAAGAGCTCTTTAGTGCCCCCTGGAGGTCAGTATCAGGAGCACCACCTGACCAAGCTCCTTGGTCCGCTCGGGCGCGCACGCCGCCGATCTGGGCGCTTCCTGTGGTGAGCTCCTGCCTACGCCAGGGCTCTGTGAATTCCTGTGCCCTCGTGGGAGAGCCCCGGGGCAGGCGCTCTGCCAACTGGTCTCCTCTCCATGGCCCCGGGTTCCTCTGCAGGCACCCTCAGCGGGTCAGGCGGGGCCAGCACCACAGTATTTGGTCATTTCAGAACGCGTCTGTGCACACTGCCCAGAGAAATCTCCGGCGCTCGGAGCAGAGTGGCCTAATTCCACGTTTTACGGGACTTTATGGTGCCAGAGGCCATTATCCTGAAGTGGGTGAAAACAGCACGGCTGGGAAGAGCGGTGAACCAATCATAGCTCCCGCCCACATCTCATGCCAGATCATCCCACCAAGGGTTCCCTCGTCCTCGCCGTCTGCTAGTTATGGTTCTGTACTTGGAACCATCCAGGCTGGGCTGACACCACTTTGCGCGATTGTTCAAACGCCACCACACCAGTCCTCAGGTATGTATGGCTCCATTTATGTCAAGAACATAAGAGTTCCAGCCAGTGGAACTACAAAGTCATCGCTCCAGAACAGGAACTGCTTCACCTTTCCAGTCTTACAGTCCATAATTAGGCTAAATATCAGTCTGACATTTTGAAGAATAAAAACAAGTGTCCAACTCTTGGCTCCTGATTTTGACGGAAAGACCGATCTATGCCAGTTGTTCTTTGCTTTTACTTGGCATGATGGCAGAAAATCCTTATTACTCAACAAAACCCATGAAGTCAGTGAGCAAAGTGGAAGCAGGCCTTGGACACGGAAAGCTGACAGCGATGAATGGAGATAGCCGAAGCAGCCGGCACACTTGGCTCTTACCTCAACTGGTGCTCCCGGAGGTTGGACAGAGCTTCCATTCCATGGAGATACGAGTACACAACTTCCAAGTCCTGAAAAATAGCAAAGACATTGCTTAGAAGACGTCTCACCACCAAAATTATATTTTATAAACCAGTGATTCCCAACCCGGTCCTCGGGAACCCCCAGACAGTCCACATTTTTGCTCCCTCCCAGACGGTCCACATTTTTGCTCCCTCCCAGACGGTCCACATTTTTGCTCCCTCCCAGACGGTCCACATTTTTGCTCCCTTCCAGACAGTCCATAATTACAGCAGCGTTGTGAAGTGACTCCACAAACAGTCAAGAAACTCAGGAGAGAAGCCACCAAACTAGGAGACAACTGGCAGATTTTAGAGCAGAAGTGTAGCAAACAAATTCTGCTGGAGGTACTGGTGTCTGCGCTGTGGTCAAGAATATCCTCGACAAATCAATACGCACCATTTAAAACACACTGCATTAAAGACACTGTTTTCAGAATGGTCATTACAACCTGAGTTAAACTTCATTTTAAACACTAAACTAAGTTGCAACAACCCGTCAGCAGATAACAGCCATTACACAACACAGATCTGTCATGTGCTCAGAACTGATGTTGAGTCCTTCCTTGGCACCAGCTCCTCGCTCACCATGCCGATAACATTGGATTCTTTTTCAAATACATCACACAAAAGACCCTGTGATAGAGGCACGTGATATAAAGTCCATGCCGGGCCCCTACTAGCCACCTTGTCGGACGTCATTCCGCTGAGAATGTAGCACCAATCCGCCTTATTACTGGCCATCGAAGTTTAATGTGAAGTTTGGAAACATTAGTGGGAGGACATAAAAGGTCACTATCTTTATGATTGGCATGAAAAGTAGACTGTTGACATCTTCAAGATCGATCACAATATAAAATCGGCAGATCGGCCGCCACTACGTCTATCTTCAGAGCAGATGCCCTCAGGCTCCAAGGATGGGCTCTGGCCCCACCCTCGAGCCCCCGCACCCCCAGCCAGACTACGGCAGAACAGAGGCACGTTTTACTCTAAGAACGCTTTGAGGAAACATGCGAGAGCAGATTTAAAGTCACGTCAGCTTTTTATTACACCACTAAAATATTTTTTTACTGTGACCCTCCTTCCTAGAAGGAGCCTCTTTACAGAAATGAAGGTGATTTGTGTGTCACTTTAAGACCAAATGAAACGTTCAGATCGCCACGCTTTCTCTGTGCCAGACGAGGGGGCTGTCCGTGGCCAGGCCACACAGTGGCGTGGTGCAGCCGGTCTGTCCCTGGCATAGAGTGGGAGAACTGCGGCACGGATTAGAGCTCGACCCAGGCTGTGTGGGCGTGGCTTAAGGAGAACGGGCGGCTGGCTTTATTGCGAAAAATGGGCCGTGTGTAAACTCCCTCCTCATCCCCCTCTGACACTTACTAGTGCACATTAGACAGATGTTTAACAGGAATGAGAAAAGAATGAACTGGGGGGGGGGGGGGGAAGCTTCTTTTTCAATTATTTTTTAAGCCTTCGTATCGTCATTCACCTGAACCACGCTGGCGAACGAGGTGCCATGCATGTGCCCCAAAGCTATCAGCCCACACAGATTTATATTATGCGCAGGAAACACACAGAGTTTCCCAAACGCATTAAAAACGACGCGGTCTCATTATCCCACCTACAGCGTTGCTCAGCACTCTATACTCTGGCCTGCACTGCCTCCTGCTGTCAACATTCAGTACTTCCAGCTGAGCATCACCGTTCACAGGCGCAGCAGGCCCCTAGCCGTGAACTCTGCCTAATCCCCGACACGATATGGCGGCTAAGAGACTCCGGGATGCCAGGGCAAGCCCATCCAGCAAGTAAGGGGGCAGTAAACGCAGGAGGCGGAGGATTCTTTAAGGAGCGGGGCAGCTCAGGCAGGCCGGGAGGATTGGACGCGGGTCCAGCTGCGGCCGCGGAATCGGGGAGCAGACTGTCCCGGAAAACCGGACACGACCGATTGGTTCAATGCCCATTCCCTGCCCATTTGCACACTCGCATTTGTAACTGTATTCTGATATTGTCTGCCTTATGTCCACTTCTCAGTGTGTCATGTTCAAAAGTCTATTTATGTTGTATTCATTATAGTTTTTTTTCCACACTACGACCAACAAGACAGAAATTTCATCTGAGTGTGACCCATGGATCATACAGCTGAAGATGCCACGCTGACTTTGACAGCACTGGCTAAGTATTCCCATATGGAGAAGACTGGCTAACTCAGATCAATCTCCTGTCCGTCACTGTGAGTGATGCACGTTCCTGCCTTAACTAAGGCCACCAGTGACAGGCATTCTTTGGTGACTGGCACCTCCCTCAACTGACCACTAGGTGTCTCACAGATCCACTCCGCGTTCACAGAGGCAGCCCTTAACGAGGGTCCTGGCAGCAGCAACTTTCCAGCCACAGGCACGGCCCGACGCGGCCAACATTACGTAAGCCAGAGTTACCTCCACCCCCCTCCCCAAAGTGGGAGCAGCTCTGCGTTCAGCATGGAAGGAATGTGAGGGACCCTCATTCTTCTGGGTCTCACGCATCTTGCGAAAAGTGGGGGTTACACTGTAACAGCACCACGTCTGCGATTCAGCTCATCCAATGACGGACGGCGGTGCTGGCAACGGGGGTCAGAGGATTCGCAGAAGACCACCGGCGGCAGATGACGCAAACTCATTCCTTCCCTGGATTCACGGTGGTCCCGGGGGTTCGCGTGGCTCGGAATCAGAGCATATTACCGGCACTCGCAGCGGAAAGGAGAGCGCCGACTGAATGACGACCGCTCGAGCGCCACGAGGGAACCACGACCCCCACCTAGCGAGAACATCTGACAGCTCTGCCCAGAGTCAGCAGGACAGACATTAAAGTCTCGCGAGGGAAGGAGCCACTGGGGCTCCCTGCGAGGAAGTCAGGGTCCGGGCCTTCGGGCTGTGACCTTACAAACTAACCAGCACACTCCAGAAGGTCACCGGTTCAAATCTCGGTGGCAGAGTGATGTCACCACTGGGTCCCTGAGCATGGCCCTTAACCCCCAACTCCCCAAACGACTGGCTGACCCCACTTCCTGAAATGTACATCAACTTGGATGTAAGCGACTGCTAAATAAGTAAATGTAACGTAAAGACTCCGCATCGGAAGGCACCGTGAGAATCAGCTTGGGACTCCTTAGAGAGCTCACACTGTCAGTTTGCCCAGATCCAAATCACACCGAAAACCTGGACGCCAATGAGAAGCGTCGTGAGGCCATTTCAGTGTTCGAGTCAGCAAGGAAAAATGAGAAGACCGCAGTCGTATATCCGAGTCAAACAAGCGGCGCTGGCGTTGGCTCGGTCAGAGGCTGTAAAGGCAGCCAGCGTATTACAGCCAGGGACATTAGAGGTCACGTGAAACAAAGTAGGCAGGCAAGGCCTCTGCTTGCGGCTTTTTCCGAGTTTCTGTGAAATGAAAAGCTTGGAGGAGGAGCCACATTTTTCACTCCATCCACAGCTGCTTGATAGACTGATTCGTTAATATATATTGGCGCGGTCCAGTTTACCATTAACCCACTGGGGGCTGTTTCACTTAAGTGACAGTTTGGGTCGCGTTTTTCCACCAGTCAAGCTCAGTCCTAGGGCGTCAATTCCCAATGAGCTCATGCAGGTGGCAATACCACCCACGACTTCAAGGGTTACTGGGGGGGGGGTATGATGGGTCACAAGCTTCTACTGTTAATGGGGCAATCAGATGAGGAAGGTGGACTGGGAATGTGGCGTGAGGAGCCGTGGAGGGCCGGAGCTCCTCCGAGGGCTGGAATATACACCCCCCCCTTCCCCCCCCCCCCGCTCTATCAGTCCACAAACACGACAAATAGGAAAGACTTTAATGGCAGCGACACACAACCATAAACGCGTGTTAGTGGTAGCAGGATCACATTAACATGCTTTTCCGTTTACGGAGTCCACGCATGAAAGCATCATTTAAAACAGCAAAGCTTTAATGAGCCGGCCCTGTCCAGTGCGGTTCCCACGCGCTTCAGCCGTGGAGAGAATGCTTTCACATGGCCGCCTTAGTCCTTATTTACACAGTCATTAGCTTTTCCCAAGCTGAGCTCTGACGCTCAACACGGATGATGTCGGGGCTGGTGGGGGCGGAAAACGGGCCGACCCACAGCAAGCGGAAGACGACCAGGCTCCGCTTCGGGCCCCGGGGCGTCCAGTGGCTGTGTTTACCCGCATTCAATTCACACATGGCCCCTGAGGTTCCCCCCCCCCCCCACAGTCACAAATAGTCACTACACAATGCATACCAGGGTTTAGGAGATGCTGAAGCAGCATGTACTGCTAACCAGCTAGCTAGCTATGATCTACTAACTATGCTCACTACTTAACGTTCACATTATAAACAAACATGAAGTGATCTTATCCCAGCAGTGTCACGAGAAGCAAACAAAATCAAAGATAGGGAGTCTCTGAAAGAACATTTACCTAAGCTGACCACAAACGATGGAACACCTGATAAGAGGAGGGGCCCAGTGACATGTACCGCTGCCAAGATGCGGCTCGGCCAGGCGGAACACGCCACAGGGCGGGGTCACTCTCCGCCCGCCCCTGTCACACCCCCACACGGCCAGCTCCCGGGAGAGCCCGCCTCCAGGGGGGTGTGGCCTCTGCAGTGCTGACCGCCTGGCACTAACGTTTGCAAAACAGCTCGGCAGATCAAAAAGGTCAAACAGGCCCTTCAAAAGGACATCCCTTTAATTAGGTCAAAGGCTACAACATCCCTTTAATTACTGACATTCAGGACGAGTCTCCCTAATACATTATTCTGTCGGAGATATTTACCCCCGTTTAAGAACAGCCTGAATTACCCCGGCTAACACTCCACTGCCTTCCCACCCCCAGCTCCGAGGGCGTGGCCTTCATGCGGCGGACACTCGTGCTGCGTTTCCACACTCGGCAAAGATAACAGGTCACGCGAAAACAGGTTCACACGCAGCGCAACACGGCGTGCAGGATCACACGGCCCCTGCAGAGGTCCTGGGCTCAGACGGCGGACAT